TTTAGCTTCCAAAGCTTCGAAACTCAGGGATAAATGGGCGGAGTTTCAAGGAATTAAGAACTGGGAAGGACTACTCGATCCTCTCGATGATAATCTACGCAAAGAGATTCTTAGATACGGGGAATTTGTCGATGCAGCATATCGTTGTTTCGACTTTGACACATCCTCCCCAGGTTATGCAACTTGCCTTTATCCCAGAAACTCCATGCTAGATCAATGCGGGTTTTGCAGTACTGGATACAAAGTTACCAAAAGTCTTCACGCCACATGTGGAGTACAACTTCCACAATTGTGTACTGAGAGATTACCAAATTGGATGTCCACTAGATCGAGCTGGATAGGATACGTTGCAGTGTGTAATGACGAGAAAGAATTAGCTCGGCTGGGCCGCCGAGACGTGGTGGTGGCATATCGTGGCACCGCCACATCCATGGAGTGGCTAGAAAATCTCCGGGCAACATTAACTTGCCTCCCTTGTGATATGGCTCCTGATAACTGTGAATCCATGGTACAAACTGGATTCTTGAGCTTGTACACATCGAGTACCGGTTCACATCAAAGTTTAAAAGAAATAGTCACAGATGAAATCGGCAAAATCCTACGAAAATACGCTGATGAGCCTTTGAGTATAACTGTTACTGGCCACAGTCTTGGAGCAGCATTAGCTACATTAACAGCACATGACATTACAACAACTTTTAAGCATGCACCTTTAGTGACTGTTGTTTCATTTGGAGGCCCTCGAGTTGGGAACAGAAATTTTCGATGCCAAATAGAAAAAAATGGTACGAAAATCCTAAGAATTGTGAATTCTGAAGATCCCATAACTAAAGTTCCGGGATTTGTTTTCGAGGACAATAACGAAGTGCCTAGAAATGGAGATGTACAAATCGCAGGTGGGTTCTCAAACTGGCTGCAAAAGAGGATGGAAGACACCCAATGGGTGTATGCTGAGATAGGCAATGAGCTTAGGCTCAGTAGCAAAGATTGTCCTCAAATCAACGATCGAAACATCGCCACTTGTCACGATCTCAAGACATATCTCCACTTGGTTGACAATTTTGTGAGTTCAAATTGTCCTCTAAGAGCCAAAGCCAGAAGTGTTCTATCCAATTTGCATGTGTGTTGATCTCTAATTGTACGTACATAAAGCACATTCATGCTATGGGAAGAGTTCAAGGAAAGGCGGCGATTGCCTTTTTGTAGAAACCCTCTCTTAGTTTTATGATGATGAGATTTCTTTTTGTAAAGAATTATTATAACTTACCTTTTTCAATTATGCACATTTTTTAGTGAATTTGTTTATTCTCTTTCTTGGAATATGAAAAGCTTTGCATATTGATAACTTAAGAATATTAACTAAAATGGAAAACGCAGTATGCTTTGATGGTGAAATGTAGATACAAGAAATTCAAATTCTCGTGTTAGAGAGCTATAAATTTTTCAAGCTAATGATTTTTAATTTGTAGCGGAAAGAAGTTATATTCATATTGATATTACGTAACTTTTGTGCACTAAGATTGAATACAAATTCAAGATTCAATTATTTCATCTAAAAGTTTACACTCGTATAGAATATCACATGTATTTATTTCAATTCATCTTCAACACAAGCTCCTTCATTTACACACCAAATATATTTTTTAATTAAAATTCTGACATGTACGTATTTTTCGTAAATAAATGACTGTTAGACTTGAATTTTAGATCTTTTGTTCATCGTGTTGACCATTATTTGGAACACGTCCAAATTCTTTTACAAATTCGCCGAAATGCTTTGGGTTAATATTGCATAAGGACAAGTGACACTTTGTTATCTAGATAATGATAATTTCACGAGCTATATAAATTAAAGACATAATTTCATTATAAAATTCATTTATAATTTTCAACCACGTACTCCCCTCTTTTGTACTAATTGGATATTTGACTTTGGCATATAAGTCATCTTTTCTGATTTTAAGAGACAGGCATGCATCTTCTCTTAGTTTTTTGGGGCAATGGTACAATTCCTCAACTTTACCTTAGCCTCAGTGGAATCCTTGAGATTGGACACCACTACACTTTTGTTCATCTCCTCAAAATCAAATCTGGAATTTCATTGTTTCCTAAAAGCATCATCGGAGATTTTCAATTAAAGCTCTAGAACGTTCAAATAGGACAAACAATGTAACACTTAGAACATATTACAATCTAACAAACATTCTAGTCCATATCGACTTATATATTAATATGTTATTCTTAGAGTTTTTGTGGATTGAGCAACGGCTCGTGTATATGTACAAAAGTAAGGTAAGTGGTATAGATCAATTGTGATATTTGATGATCATCTGAACGTCCTAAAGAATTTGTTGCCATCCTAAGGAGTTGATGTGGCTCAGCATGGTCATTTTTGACATAGTTCACTACTAGAATTGAACAAAAAAGTCATTAATCTGTGAAACCCAATCAAAATCATGATTTTGAAACCGTAGACTCGTTAATATTTCAATTCAAAATTGAAACAAGTAGTTCAGAAATGATTTGATTTATGTTTCAATAGTTAAAAATCGCTTGTAACCAAACCGGTAGGTTCAACCAATTTTTAAAAAATAAATAAATAAATAATAAAAATTACTTGTTTTATTTTTAAAATATATAATTTATTAGTTCAATTTATACTTCAATAAATTTAAGAATAAAACTATCTAATACTATTTTAGATGACTATTCTTTATAAGTTCAATTAAATGAATAATGTGACTTTGTATTTAAATGAATTTATTATTTAATGTCGTCGCTAAGGCTGGTGCTTAATACAAGCGATGATGAATAACATTATTCTAAATTTAATTCCTAGTTGGCTTCTATTGGCTCTTTAGAAAAAATGATTCAGAAGCAAAAATTTTATGATTAAACTGTGTTATTTTATTACTTTAAACTTATATTAAGACAAATATATTTGTTGACTTTTATGCTTGGAAATTAAATTTGAAATTTTATATATATTGTTTTTTCACTTTTTATGAAAAATGTTTAAAAATCAGATTGGACTGCTGCAAAAAATGGTTTGATTTAAAAAAAAAAAATTAAAAAAAAAAAAAAAAAACCTTTAAAAAAAAAAAAAAATTAAAAAAAAAAAAAATAAACCGTTCAAATACTGACAAACGAATTGTGTTCACTTCTAGCTAGACGACTTGGAAGTTGAAAGCAAGCATGTTATCTTGGATTTTAACATCACTAACAATATATAATTTACTTTTGCACAAGAATCCCTTATGGATAATTGATTGGGTCCACTATCATTGATTTCTACATCTCCACTTTTTATTTTATATAATCATTTCCCAGTGGAAAAACTGAGCTTTTTTTGTTGATATATCTCAAAGTTGGATGATATAAAAAGGCGATGCGGACTCGTCTCATTGGTCTCTGTTTGATCCTACTTTTTCAGATTTTTTTTTGTTTTTTTTTCAATTATACATTTTGTAAAACCCACAATTTTTATCGACTTTCCAACCACAAATTTCATCAATTTTTGTTAAAATTTAATTTTTTTAACATAACCAAACTGAGGCAAAATAAAAAATTAAATTAAATTAAAATTAAAATTGAATTGAATTGAACTGAACTATGTGCACCATTAATTACATATTAATTTAGAATATTGTGTGATCAACAATTAACTTCAATCTGACCGACAATGCCATTGTGTTGTGAATCTCCAATCGTTAGTAATATAGAGATATGTTTGGTTTTTTCAACATATGATATGATGGATTCAATTGGCCTAAAATGCCTTTATTTGTGAAAATGATTCCTAATAAAAGTAAATAGAAGGCTAATCCGATAGATGGATAAGTACCTTGATCACCATCAAATCCTTCGAGTATTGGCACATGACAGGTCAATAGACATGATAGTTTAATAGAAAATCCTTAGAGTGAAGAGACAATTATCTATCTTGATTCCTATGTACGACACTTCCATCTTGCTTCTAAAACAAATCACTATAATCTCAAGTTTTGTGGTTGCATTAAATGGAAAATGAGCATCCACCCACACAAGTATATGAGGATGTTTACCATTCTTCAGTCGGTCAAATGTCAATCCTTCAGCAGTGCAAGATATCGATGGTCTAACTGCGAAATCTTGTGCATAAAGCCAGAACTTTCATTCCACAATATTTCTTTGTTCGATTCAAAGATGAATACTACGTATAAGCAATCCTGATAAAAGAAGCCTAAGACCATGCAGTGGTTTTTGTGTTTTTTTTTTTTTTTTTAATGTAACTAATTTGTATCAAAACACATTTTTGCCTTCCCAAGTTGTCATAGTTTACATATTTTTTCTTTAAGTGAAGAAAATCAAGAAAAGATATCTAATGACTAATACTTTCCATTATTCTTACAAAATATACACACACACTATGTATGGTCGATCCTGATCAGAGAAGCCTAAGACCATGCAATGGTTTTATTTTTATTTTTAATGTAACTAATTTGCGTCAGAACACTTTTTTGCCTTCTCAAGTTGCCATAGTCTACATATTTTTTTTCTAAGTAAAGAAAATCAAGAAAAGATATCTAATGACTACTACCGTTTAACTTATTCATTAATCAAATGATATGTCATACCATCGATGCTTAACATAAGCTAAGCACCAACGCCCAATAGATCATTTCCATATATATATATATATATATATTAAACTCCTATTTGACAACCATAAATTTGAAAAAATAGAATTTGGAATAGTGATTTCTAGAAAAATGTGATTAAAAAGTGTCAAAAAATTTTGAATTTATATTGCAAAATATTTTATGGGATGAATATGTAATTGAAAATAAATATATAAAAAAAAAGAGTTTTAAAAGTATAATTGTCAAACATGGGTTAAATTTTACCCTTATGACTATCTTTTTAGTCATCATTTGATAAAATAACATTATTGTATCTAGTAACATTCCAAATAAAAAAATTTAATCTGATTGGACAACGTTCCATGGCAATGGAGATGGTTTTTCTAATGGTAATTTCCATTCAAATATAAGTCGATCCGTGTCTGGCCGAACTTAAAAGCTACTTTTTGAAAGTATATCTCTATGTACTTGTGTGTGAAAATAAGTACCCCATTTGTTTGCCCAAACAGCATGGAGTTCCTGTTTTGTAAAAATGTGTATTCAGATGTGCACGTGGACTAGTACATGAAAGAGCAAGCTCAAAGAGTGAAGGTACTCATATACAGTTGCTGATGTACAATTTTTTCTGTCATTACTGTCTGTTTCTTGAGATCTCCAAGTCTTTCAACTTTCTTTTCAATAGAGTATGCTCATGCTGCATTTTCTCAAGTAAAGCCTCGACCACGTGCATCTCCTCCTTGAGAATTTTCATTTGCCTATCAAGCAAGCCGAGTGTTTCCGCTCTATCTCCCCCTCTGTGCATGCCGCTCATGCCATCTGCTTGAGGAATCAGGTGGATCCGCTGAGGTCGACTCAATAACACGAGAATGCTAATCTGTGAAAAAAAAAAAAAAAAATTATATATATATATATAGTTAACATTTCACACACAAGGGAAGCAATAGCAGTATCATGCCAATCAATAGAAAAACCAGCCCATACAAATTTGATGAGTAAAATAAAAATGCTAACTACAAAATATGACACTAGAGATTCGATATGCATAGAATAAAAATGCTCATCATATGATTCTCGCATAATTTATAACGAACTGGAAACAGGCACGATATATACATGCATCCGAACATATATCTAGGTAGACGAATATTATAAAGAAACATTTGTTTGTGTACCTGCATTAAAAGGAGAATCACAGCAACCGTGATGACCAGAATTAGGGAAGGCGTGCTTTGACATTTCAAAGACGTACAGAATTTCGCAAAGGAATCTTTTAACGAGGATCCAACTGATGCAGAGCCACTATGATTTATTTGCTGGGCATTGGTGATTTTTTGGTTCACATCATTCAAGTTGGGCAACCTTTTGGATATGTTTGCATCACTTGCTCTCTCTGAAACACATTTCTCAGTGCTTCCATGCTCTTTTAATATAATTTGACCATTTGGTATCAAGTTCGATGGAAGACTGACAGCTGAATTACAATACAGAATATTAAAATCAAATATATTGAAATTAAATATTATCCAAAAACAAGCATGTAAAATAACTTCTATAAATTCAGTGGCTAGAAGTTATTAACTATCTCAATTGGTTTCAAATATTTGGTTTCTGAACAATAAACGTACCTTCTTCCTTTTCAAGGTTCTTCTTCTTCAACAACTCGTGTGCCTGAAAAAAAAATAGCCCATTTCATCCTCGTCAATACTGTCAACCTTTAGCAAATAGAAAACTTAAGAGCCTTACAAGAAAAAGACAAGAAGATTACAAGATCTATCCAAATGGCATAAGCTTCCCGGCACTCTTCCAATGTAGACTGCACTATCTTCCCTGCAAAATTTAGCACCCACTCAACACTCAAACCAAATTTCAGTAGAAGCTGATTCTAACAGCTGTTCATGGTAGCATCCTACTCTAAAGGTCCAACAAATCCAACTTATACAAATATGAAAAAAAAATTGGCCATTCTATGGTTAGCGGAAGCCACAGATAGAACATGTGGGTGTCCTGTAAAACCTACCACATTCATAACAGCTTAAATGGTTTTGTCCACTGGTGATAATAACAAGTATTGACATCAACTTCACAAAATGTAATGACGTTACATGAAAGTGCAGGATTTGCAGAAATACTCTAGATAGAAGGCAATCGGTCAATTATACGTGTATATACATGTGAGAGTGTGAGTAGCTAAAGTTTACATCAAAAACACAGCCACGTGCTCTACTTAATGCACAGCATCAAGAACCAATTCATAACAGGTACATAAATCTTCCCCTTAGTTGGGGACACGAAGACAGCTATGGGTTGCAGGAGGGTATAAGAAAGAGACTTGACAAACCTCTCCACATGGTTTTCTTGGAAAAGGCCACATGGATGTAAACCTTCAATATGCAGCCAGGTTTCGAATCACTGCCATCTCTCTCCACATCCCATCGCCCCTGTAAAATTTTAATGAGAATCCAAATAGGAAATTCATGAAAGATGCTAAGCGAACATCAACTCTAATTTCTTTACAAACCAATGTACTGAACAGCTATAGAAGATAAGGTGGGAGCTTCCTCGAATCTCCTTTGAAGAGAAAACGGATAGAGGAGCTTACCAGCGATCTTATGTTTTCAGCATGCTGGCAAATCTTTGAAACTAATCATAGTCATTCTATTTCCAGTGATACGTGACGTTTTCAAATACATTTTTGTAATTGTCCAGATCTTAGCTCTTTTAATTCCATATCATAAATTTAATCAAGCAAAAAACCAAAAAAAAAAAAGAATAGTGACAACTATATCATTAATATAATACAAGGGCACCCAAACGAATACAAGGGTTAGCATGTACTAATTTTTTTAATTTTCTTTTTTACTTTTTAAACCTATCATGTGACTGATTCTATGTGCTTTGTGAAACAAATATTGAAGATCAAATTACCCAGATTTTAACTGATTCACAGGATAACAACTGTAAATGTTCAGTCAGGGGTTTGAATATCACTGTTAAGCTATCAAAGAATATAACAAGATGTTCGCATCATCATTGATTGTTTTCTGATTCATTTTTACCCCCATGTGCAACTGATGTTGAAGATCAGATAATGACATGTAAAAGGTCCAGAGTTAATCATTCAATGCATCAACAATGGACCAGTGGACCAGAACTAGGCCACAAATTTAAACACCACAATCACCCACCCACCCAACCAGCCTCTTCAGCACCAAAGAAAAAGGAGTGCAAACGGTAGCCAGATACAAAGAGAAATCAAAATTTTGAAACATGAAAGAGGAGCGCAACCACGGCATTTTGTAACAGGGAATATAAAATCCAAGGTTTCCAATGTGAACTGGAACACTGTACCTCAACTCGAAAATAATCCCCATATGGTACATCACTGATCTCTTGTGAAGTTTCAGCAACCAAGTGACTGGCATCATACAAAATTATGCAAGTCAAATACAATAAAGAGCTCAACTGTACAGTGAGAATCCTAGAAAATGAGACATCATAATAGGACTTGACTCGAAATTTGGTGTGCTTTGGCCAGCTGTAGCAAAGAGAACATGAACTGGAGCTTTATTACGGAGAATGCATCATTATTGGCAAGCAGCTCTCACAAGGATAAATTACAATGTGCTTAATTACATAAAGTAAGTTCCATATTCATGACCTAGGAAGTGCATGCACAGGTTTTACTCAAAACCAAGCCCCCGTTTGAATCTCATTAATTTCCATTCCATTTTTCTCTCTTATTTTCAACCACACAATCTTTCATAAAATAATATTACTCGTAAATCGAAAATTTTTCCTTCTTTTTCAACCACTCATTAAAAAAAATAAAATAAAATAAATAAAAATAAAATTACTATTCCACCCATTTTCATTTCCAAAAAAGGAGGGGGGGGGGGGGGGGGGGGGGCTAAATAAAATTTTAGCAAAACGTTTCAGGTAAAAAAATGTCTGGATTGTAAAAGGTCGAGCATTAAATAACATGAAGTATTTTTCAGAAATAAAAATGCAACAGGAGGGGATGAAGGGTGACAATAGCAGAATAAGAAATAATGATTGTGATTGTTCAAACACGTGGAAAATTAATACGACAAATCTCATGTACCAGTTCTTGTAAACTCGATATTTCTGAACCTCCTGACAGCTACCAAATCTCGCACCTACATGAAGCAAAATATAGATTATGAGTCCATAATAACTTAGCATCAGAGTGAATGGACACTAGATACGAAAATCAACATGATTTGATCGAAAACCTACCAAAATATAGTTTAATTGGATGTTGAAATGATGCATCACGGGTGTGCCCATATATTTCATGCGGACGCCATGAAGTACATTTGAAATCTATAAGGCAAAAGCCTGAAAGTTATTATAAATTCGCCACTTAAAAGAACCTGGCACTGTGACATGGTGAATTGAACAATCCATAAAACTTTTTGCCTATACCTTTATCACCGCATTTTTCATGGAAGGACTCCTGAAAACTAACACTATCATCTGAAACGAACAGATGAAAAAACTCCTCAACATCTATCTGCAATGCATCAATCAAATGTTTAAACCACACAAGCTCATGCCGCGTTCAATTTAAATAAAATCATTTTATGTACCGGAAACTTTGATTCGGCAACCATCGTGTAGCATTCAGGAACTGCATTTTAAAAACCCAGTTCAAGATAAATAAAGTGGAAAGAGATTAAATCAAAACAATAAAGAAATTGGGATAAAATTTATGTAAGGAGAGAAAACACTGAAACTTTAAAGATCGTGATGTGATATGCAAAGTTGAGAGACCAAGTTAAAGAGCAACATCTGTCCCCACTCCATGCAGACACACAAAAAGAAGAGGAATATGATATACAGGTTCCTAAATGGCACAACATAAAATGAGGCATCAAAATAATGGATATATGATGTGCGTGTAAAACCAGACATTAGGAAACATTAGATTGCACTGAAATTTAGCACTCAATTCTTTCATACATCGATAATTTGACATGTAACCACTAGTAGATGGAAATAATCACAGAAGAAATTTGGTTTCATTATTTCAATTGTTGGTATATAATCACTAGCATCAAATCCATTGCCCTTCTTTAGCAGCATCCGTTATTAGCATTCCTTGCAAGGAACTTGATTTACATCACTGTCCAATTTATTCTACCAATTTTAAGATATATCTGCAATTTGATACAATCGTGAGCTCTAATGACCTTTTCTGTTGAGTACTTCCATTAAAATAGGGTACAACTGTCTGTTTACAAGGATACAAAAACGAATTATACATCATCTTAGACGCATGCTTTTCAAATAAGAAATTTTGGCCAAGTCAAGACATTAGGGGGTGGTGCCCGTGCCATCTTGAGTACTTAAACCTTTTGACACCTTGCAGATAAAATGTATGTGATTTTCATAGGTATTTTTTATTTACTTTTCATTTGAAATTTTTTAAAATAGAGATATATTTTGATCATTAATAGTGTCATTTGACTAGATTTTGGACTCTCCACCACTTAAAGTGGTTAAAACTTTACTGCCATCACCGATGCTTCCTGCTGACATTCTACTGCATCAAATTCACGTGGAATGATAAGATACTTCACATTTTCACTGCATACATTAAAATTTGAATGTTAAAGCATTCCAGTCTATTGCTAAAAAAGGAGCAACAAACGCCAAACAAGTTCAGAAACTATAGGGTTTGGAATGAAATGGGCCCTATAGGAAAACCTAAGCAACTCACAGTACAAGAAAGAATCTTGACATCACAACTTGATATTATGTGACAAAATAGTTTCACACTATTTACTAAAGACGATAATAACATTATCAATGTGCTGAACAATGTCAAACATTTTCTTCATTCTGAAACAGGGAGCAGTAATTTCAAATAAAATGAAATCATAAAGAGCACAAATTTTTTAATAATTTAATCCTTTTTAGGAATTGCAAATGTGGAACAGTAATTTAATTTTTATAATATTTGGAGACTAGAATATTTGACTGACCTCCAGGTGCATCAGAATCCTCCTGCTCCCAAACAGAAGATTTTCCAGAAGATGAACACTCAATACTTTGAGCAACTTCTACATCCTCTACCTCATTAGTTTGCACTCCTGAAGATGTGGACACAGTTTCAGGTTCACCATTAACTGAGAGTTTAGAATCTTCAGTCATGGGAACATTCTTATCCCTGATTCACACAGATAAATCATCATAAAATTTGATTCAGTCAAAGAGAACAAGAGTAACAAAGAAACAGCAATTTGGAAAGTCAGTTATTACAGTTAGCTACAGGAACCATCAATAATTGAGTATATACTTTGCAATCTAATTCACTCGTTTGTGCTTGTAATTTTCAATTTTTTCATGATTTCTTTCAGACGATGGTACTTTAGTCATTTTAGTAATGGACAATAGTCATATATTTCCAGATGGAGTTTTGTGTGTCAGCTAGTTTTTACTTTTTTGGCATTCCATATATGTGAATAGTCAGTTCAGCAAGTCAAAGGGTATAATAAAAACCAATGTCATCTGCCCTTAGTCTCAAACCCTAATTACCCTACATTCAGTGACTGACCAGCAATTTCCTGCTCTAAAACATACTCTGGAAAAATCGGCATTAATCAAAAAATCATAATCCACAGCTTCCCATGTGGAAAATGTACTCAGGAATTTAAATAAAATCATGCTTCGTAAACCTCGCCATTTTGAATTGAATGCTGTTACTATCAGTATACAAGATGTTTAAAGCAGACTTCATATTAACTATCTTACATTGAGAGAAAACGACAGTGTGGGAAATTAATTATGGAGAAGATATTACTATGTGGATTTAGGAAGGTTTTTGGATTTAAAGACAGCCTGGTTCTAAACAATGAGAAAAAGTCAACCGCAGCATTCAGTTGGCGAAGAGGATTTATCATGTTGCATCTTAGGAAAAATACCTTTCAATGATATCCAGATTGTCCACAGATTGACTGCAACTCTCAGATTTTTCAACTATGGCACTCATATTCTCTTGGCTACCATTCTCAGACTTCGAATCCTGAGATAAAGCAGAACAACAGTAAATAGCAACAGAATACGGATGATATTTCATACATATTCTCATCAGATTATGGTCGAACCATTTATACAAGGCCACAAGAAACATACACTCTCTAACATATCTTGGTTTTCTACGGTTCCTCCAATCAGAAAATTATCCACAGTTTGACAGAAAAGCAAAAATCAAATATAGAATATTATCTCTAAGGCCATGTAATAGGACTGATTGTCTATTACCTCTCACAGAAAAATGATCAACAAAAATAATTTCACAGCACGAAATAATATGATATAGAATCCACTATGTGTCTTGGCTAATAAGTGCCTCAAAAAATGAGTGATAACACGAAACCCTACGCAGAGAACACAAAATGCAAGTTCATTTTGAAAGGCACCAAGATTTCTGTCCATATTCAGGTTACAAGGTGCTAAATAATCACATACATATCGAAAGAGGAAAAATCGACGTGGAAAAAAAACTCCAAAAAGGTTACATATGAATAAATAATTTAAACTTTAAATCCACATCTTCCATGCGTAAAAAAGATCCACCAACATACAATGCCCTTTCAGTCCACTTAATTACCAAGGATAATATAAAGAAAAAGAAATTTCAAACTGATTGGGTAAAGGACATATTGTGCGTGTTTTACAGAATCTATGAACTTCAAAAGATGGTTTGCATACTCATGGAAAATGTAACCAACCAACAAGAAACAAACGTCCAAAGGTAACATGTCTCCCTTAGTTTCCTGTGAAAGAAACTAAGCCTGTATTTTCCTGAACATCAAAGGAGATTGCAGTGGTTTACATCAAGTTTAAGCGAAGATTTCCAGCTGCTCACAAGCCAATAAATGTATCCTCGAACATGGTAGTGAGTAGGGGAATCAGTTGTCAATAATTGTATACTCAAATATAGAAAAGAATCAGGAACTCAAGTGCCATATATGTCATCCATCCAAATTTCAGAACAAGTCGCAGGAGTCTTGACATTGAGTCTCACGACAAGACTATTCATCCAACCTGATAACCCCTTGCCCACTTTTCAGCAGCCATAAAACTAGAATTCCATTTTATTACAATGACATGGAATGGTGATAATCAGATAGCAATTATCAGTTCTTATCCCCAGGGAAGATAAAAAGACACGTCATAACACTACCATGAGTTTCAATCAATATTTTTTTCACTAATTAAACTAAAAATGATCAACATATATAACACAGAAACAACCAGGAAGATATCAGAAAAATACAAAACAAACTTAATGAATTCAAAATCTGATTATGGTTCGAGTCAAGTATAAATCTTAAGCATGAATTTATATGTCATTCAACACCTAAATACCTGCTGATCTGTAATTTCTTTAGACCCATTGCTATGCTGCAACCAGCCATCATTAATGAGCTTGAAAGCTTCATCACGGGATAAAAATGAGGTGAAGAAATACTGCCAAAACAGAAAAAACTATTTAAAAACAAAGTAGACACTGTTTAAAAACAAAGTAGCATATGATCTTATATCATGTGGAAAAATACATGAAATTTATAGAACACAACGTAATATAGCATTAAAACTAGGTAATACCTTCTGCCCTCCAGCTGTTATTTCTATTGCAGTAGGGAAGATAGCTGCTACCTTTGCTCTCCTTATAAACGTGACTTCATGAAATGGGATGATTTTCTAAAATATGAAGTGTTATATTGTCAATGAATTAAGGACCTAATACCAAAATGGTATTGACGAAATAAAACACGCATCAAACAATATTAGTAGGATCAAATCCACATTCAAAGGTCAGTCATTTTATTTTAACATTCCAAATATTTAGTGTGTGTATGACCTCAAAAATCAAAGAATCACTAAATCTCATCAATTCACATTAACCAATAGACTAAAGATCAAATTTATAATCAACATGACCGCAAACTCAAACATCACTATACCTACTATGTAATTGTTGCAAATACAACCATATCATAACCCGGCATTTATAATTCTCAGTTCCGAAGCTACGTGTTTATACAATCTAATTACCAACAGAAATAAAAGATTTTCCAAGCTAGAAAGAGCAGTAAACTTGAAGCGGTAAGAAACCAATCACATTAACGTGAAAGTACTATAGTTACAGACATCCATGGAAATCACATCATAATTTGTGCAATAATTTATCTTAAGATACTGGCTGACTGCAGCTAAGGAACATGTTTATACATATCATTGTTTCCCTAGAACTTATGTAGAAAATGTTCAAAACTCCCCAACCTTTCTTTTTATAATACTAGAAACAGAAGGTAAGGGAGGGAGAGATCTTATGATCCCAAGATAAATGACACGGATAAGAATGAAATAGAAAACAATTAATAGTATAGCACAGGTTTCCAGTTGACCAAGCCTATACTGATGAAATCTAGTAGGAATATGATTAGCGGCCAAGCACCATTTCATATACCATGTGATCCTTGATGATAAAAAAATCTTGAATCTATCTAACAAACTACATATTTGATACTTGATTGAAATGCCGTATTGCCTCAAAAATACAAAATTAACAAAGATATTTTTGCTTTCTTCACATAAATTTCCTACAATTTCATTTACATTTCCATCATTTAGTTCATCAAATGTCATGGTGTACAGCTGTACAATCAATTGAATATGAACCACTCACCCACAACAACAGTATAAGAATGAACATGAAGCAGGATACTATCCAAATAAACTCTGGTCTAAATTGATTAGCTTAAAAATACAAAAGAGAAAATACTTATTGACCAAAAACCTTTGCCTGATATCCACAGAGGTGAAGCAAAAGCAGATAATGGACAGAGGCACAAGATATATACACAAGCATACCTTCGTCTCAAATCCAAATAAGTTGGAATAAAAGCAGATATAACGGTCAAAGAGGTACATGTGGCCCTGCAATGAAGAATAATACTCCCTATCAGGAATATTGTAACGGTCCAAAAGTTATTAGACAACAACCACATTAAAGTGTGTGAATGATATAGAAAAAAAGCTAGCGAAAAACGGCATAACCCCAATAATAGTTGCAACCCAACACATGATGAAAGGAAAAATAACAATGCACGAAGCATAAAGATGAAAGTCCAAGAAAATCTAACTCTTAAACCAACTAAAAATTATAAAGATCAATATTACCTGAAGAAGAAAATTCTCTTGCAATGCACAGTTAAAATCTTGAACAAGAACCTATAACAAGGAAAAATAAAATAACTTATGCGAATGGGTATTTTGCAGAGCAAAGTAATCTATAGTTAAATGATCCAGAAAGAGATAGACGTTCGGAAAAGATAAATACCTAGACTGCTTTAAAGTTCAATACACAAGAATTATTTGTTAAAATTGGTAGCCTCAGGAAACAAAAAAAAAAAAAGGAGCTCACCAACATGATCAGAAACCAGTCACAAACTCTGAAAATAAAACACAACAAACAGGTTCACATAAACAGGAGATGGGAAAAATGAAAAGAAAGAAGCTAGATACAACATGTACAGCAACAATAATCTTGGGGGCAACTACTTGAAACCATTTTACTATTATCTAAATCAGAGTTAAGTTTCTGGAAGGTTCAAGGAAACCAAATCTTTGCAACAGCTTAAGACATGTTCCGTATCTCACCTAACTAAAATTTTGCATTGCCCTAGTGAAAGGGAGTTTGCTTAGTTCTAGACAATACAAATAACACTCTCAGCATCCATGTCTCTATTTATCCTTTGATACCACTACAAAGTTACATTAGTATACTCATAATAAACCATCAACCATCTAAAAATTCATGATAAAACGTGTCAATAAAATTTAGAGTCTAATTTGCAACCCATTTTAAAATACAGCAACAAAGTAGTGAATTATAACTTAACAAAGATTGATCACATACAAGACCACTAATCCACAAACACAACTAGAATTACAAGCCAAAAAAAATTACTGGCTATCAAAGAATTTCATTTGCTTTTACTTCGAAATGAAAAAGAAACTAGAGAAAATTGGGACAAAAACTCGCGACCAAAAGAAAAAAATAACACACTTAAAAGAATCTTCTATCACTGGTTGCTAGTCTGAAAAGTTTAAACTTCACTTCGAAGGCAGTTAACGTACTTTAGCCGTAAGGTGTATGCATTCTCAATTGTTCTCTTCTCTGCCAATTCCTTTTTCTAGCCTTTAAAATTATGTTTAAAATACCCCAAAGAACCTTAACATTTAGGGTATGAAAAAACCCATTCCAAAAAGCCAAGATCAATAATGAAAAAACCTAAAAAGAGCAAGACGATAGAGCACACAAGTTAGTTGCCCTGAGACTTTCGACATTAAGTATGCATCTCAATACTGAAAGTATAAGCCTGGAGAAAAGCACTAAAAAGACTCTTAATGAAGGCCCATTGTGAGGTGTGCCTCAATGCATAAGTCTTAATCACGTGTGAAAATAATTATCGTTGTATGGAAACAAAACCCATCTTAACATCCTCACTTATGCTATGTCCACTCTATGGATGTAGCAAATGAATAGATTTCATGTATATTCTTTTTTATCATATTGTATCATAGATAGCTTATAATCTTCAAAGCTATAACCCTACATTACTTCTTTAGGTTTTTAAATATATCTCCCACCAAACCGATTTCTCAAGCAGCATCATCAAAACTATCAATCTTTCATTTAATCAAAACCAGCCCAAAAGTTTCCATTGATGTGATCTACAAACATAATCATAAACAAACTCTAAGAGACATTTCATGTCATTTACCCAGAAATCTAAATGAAGAACGATGCCACGTATAAGCAACAGTTGAAGTCACTAAATTAGTAGCTTTCAAACGTCTTCACATATTAAAACTCTCTCCACATTCAAGTTGATACTGTATACAACGCAACTCTTGCAAATACAATCTTATCTCAATCCACAATTTTTTGATATTTACCATAGCAGTCGGATTCTTCCAGGCAGTCTCATTAGAACTTGAAAGAGTATCCCCATCAAATGCCAAATAATATGCTTAGTGCAACAATTTATGACCTTCAATGGAAAGAACACTTGCAACAATTTATGACCTTCAATGGAAAGAACACTTAAGTTATCCCCTGGTCACCACATGTGAAACTCTTGTAGATGTCATCCTTGTCTCTTCTAAATCAGCATTGTACTGTACCTCCGATCTGGCTGATTAGTAGTGGTGTGAAGCAAGACCCCAAAACCCTTCAAATTTTATAACAAGTGGGTGGTACCCTGCCTTTTTGAATATAGTTCAAAAAGATTGGATTATCCAAGTACAGGAATCCTATGCTCATTTAAATTCAGAAGCTCAAAAAGGGACCAAGAGAACAACTTGAAACTTGGAGCAAGCAAAACTGGGTGTGTAAATTATTTGCATGGCTTACACTTACCATTAGCACACTGTCAATTACTCATCAATAAAACAAATTGGTGTTTTTAACTTCTTCCATCAGACTTTCAGTAGAATTTAACATCAATAGTCAGAAATTCTTGAACATCAGGAATGACTTTCCAAGACCATGAACTTAAGCACATTCTTCTTTTATCTTTCCTTTTGGACTACTTCAACAGCACAGACGACCAGAATTTCATATGAGTGTTACTTTTCTAATAATGCATACAAAGCCATTCACCAACCAGAAATTGAAGTCACAGCACTCCCCAGCTGGGGGCACTAAGCCAGCTGAAATACCCCCCAAGTCTTACTGTGTGAGAATTCCCAAAATCAGAATTTGTGCATCATGGTCAATGAATTAGTTACACATCACTCAGTCCTTGAACAATAAAAATAAGGAATGGCTACTCTACCTACGGAACTTCACAAGTTTGTATCAAAACATTATACAGATTAGTTGAAAACCAAAACGAAGATATGTACAATATTTTATTAATCTAAACATTTTTTAGAATTGTTATTCAATTAAATTTAAAATTGTCAGACACTTTGTCGGAAATCGAGATTAGTGTACCAAGGTAATGAAAGCCAACGTTTAATTTTGATAAAAATAAAATTTTTAATGAATTTTTATAAAAATTAATGAAAAATATGATTCAAAATTTGATAAAATGTGTAGTTAAAATAAATTATTTAAAAAAATTGAATTTTAAGAATGGAGATCAAACATGGACTTAATTTATCAAATGTAGTCCGTCAATTACAATCAATCAATTTTATGAACAATGTTATCTAGCACACGTTTAGGTGATAATTAAATGAATTTTAAATCGTTATATTTAATTAAACTTATACTTTAATATCCGCTTTACAACTAATCTTTTATTACATTCTTTTCACTATGAAATCAAGTCCCTCATAATTACTTGTAGCAAACCTGGTCCCTTTAATGAATGTTCAGCAAAAAAGGAAGGGAAAAAAAATCATAGATACCTCATTTAACATATAATAATTCATTTTATACTATTTAATCCAATTAATAATCGAAATTACTACTTAACCCTATTAAAATCCCAAAAGTACCATAATAAACTTTTCTTTTTGATATTGTAACTGAAAATTTTTTAAATACAGAAAAATGGGTTGGTGGACATACGGTGATTCAAATTCAAAAGAAAGTTGACAGCTACAATACTATTAGTAGGTGAGTTGAGATTGCTCACCATCAGCGAACGTGGTGGATTGGTTTCAATGATATATTCATCATGTGTGACATCCGACGAGGGATCGCATTGAATTATCTTCTAGAAATTTTTTACAAATTGATTAGATCGACCGAGGAACAATATTTACTCCGGTTCTTTTCCAGGAAAAAAAGAACAATGACAACACTAAACTATAGAAATTAAAACTAAAAAATAAATGAGGGCGAGAAAATACCTGACTATCGAATTTTCTGGGAGGGCTAGGGATTGAAGTGGAGGGGAGATCAGGTGCGTCGGCGTACGAAGATGAGTCAATATCGGCGGAGGCGGCGGAGAAGCGTGCAGAAGAATTATGATCCATTGATTGTGAAATTGGAGGCGAGGCTGTGGGGTCCATGATCTTCTCGGAGGCCACTGCTGCCATACTATATACGTGTATCTGTATGTATATAATGGCTCGGTGACGGTGAGTTCAAGGAGCTGAGATGTAGGGTGAGGGAGTGTCGGTTGGTTTGTTCGGCGCTTTGCCGGTGAGTGTTGAAGTTTCTGATTTTTATTGACGTGACTCTTTTGTCACCTCTTAATTCTTATTTACAAATTTTTTTTTTTTTTTTTTTTACCATGGTTGATTTAATTAAAAATTTATTTTAAAATTTATATAATAATCAATAATTAATTTTAATCATATATTTTATATATTCGATAATTTTTTAATCAGTTCCACTAATTTTTATTAAAATTTTAAAAGTCCGTGAGATTTATTGGGCAGTAATTGACATTATTAAAAAAAGGTTGAATCCTAACTTTGAGGGCTCCTACGGCCCCGCCTCGCCCGTAGAGGAAGGTAAATTGTGGGATGTGTCCCAACAGGTCAGGAAACAAGAGTTGTCTGTACACTGCGCCTACAAGAAGTCCAATTCATGTCTCAAGAATCGAACTACTACACTACGGCTGCCAGTAAGGTATGAGATAATATCACTTCTATCCTTTACACCATTGAGCTATGCCCCAAGGGGTAGTAATTGACATTATTAACAACATTAATTGATGCTCCTGCGAGGCAACAAAATTCCAATTAATTTATGATTTTTGAATTAAAGTTTTATTTATTTTAAATTTATAAAACCAACCAAATCAGAATGAATATTAAGCTTGGGTGGGTCCTCCATCCAACCACCTATCATGACAGTTCAACGGGCAGATGAGAATTGAGATACAACTATTAATACAAGAATAATATTAATCTAAACATTTTTTAGAATTGTTATTCAATTAAATTTAAAATTGTCAGACACTTTGTTGGAAATCAAGATTAGTGTACCAAGGTAATGAAAGCCAACGTTTAATTTTGATAAAAATAAAATTTTTAATGAATTTTTATAAAAATTAATGAAAAATATGATTCAAAATTTGATAAAATGTGTAGTTAAAATAAATTGTTTAAAAAATTGAATTTTAAGAATGGAGATCAAATATGGACTTAATTTATCAAATGTAGTCCGTCAATTACAATCAATCAATTTTATGAACAATGTTATCTAGCACACGTTTAGGTGATAATTAAATGAATTTTAAATCGTTATATTTAATTAAACTTATACTTTAATATCCGCTTTACAACTAATCTTTTATTACATTCTTTTCACTATGAAATCAAGTCCCTCATAATTACTTGTAGCAAACCTGGTCCCTTTAATGAATGTTCAGCAAAAAAGGAAGGGAAAAAAAATCATAGATACCTCATTTAACATATAATAATTCATTTTATACTATTTAATCCAATTAATAATCGAAATTACTACTTAACCCTATTAAAATCCCAAAAGTACCATAATAAACTTTTCTTTTTGATATTGTAACTGAAAATTTTTTAAATACAGAAAAATGGGTTGGTGGACATACGGTGATTCAAATTCAAAAGAAAGTTGACAGCTACAATACTATTAGTAGGTGAGTTGAGATTGCTCACCATCAGCGAACGTGGTGGATTGGTTTCAATGATATATTCATCATGTGTGACATCCGACGAGGGATCGCATTGAATTATCTTCTAGAAATTTTTTACAAATTGATTACAAGTAATATGTGCATATCTAATTCTTAACCAAGATTAGTGCAACTTTGGATATTTCATGTATAATCTTTATTTTCGAAGTCCAATTTTTTGTGTCATTTGGAATATAATTTGATTAATGTCCAGGGGCTATGTTACCTTAATCGCTGTAATTTAATATATATAGACACCAATATCCTCGTCCGAAATGTAATTAATTTATGCATATCACCATCTGGCTCTCGTGTTGTTAGATTTTTTGAACTCTCTTCGATAAGACTTGAATGACTACATGCTGATGGCGAATTTGAAAGTGGCCTAATTAGGATGAATCTCGAAAATTTTCATCTCCTCTAGGAGTTTCCGAGCTTCTCCGTCAAGCCCTTGCTTGCTGAACCTTCCAATCGTTGTGTTCCATGACACTTACTCTTTATTATTCAACTGAGAAAATACAGAGCGTCCACGTTAGGCATACACATGAACCAAATCACTCTAAACAGGTATAGAAGTAGCAGAATCACCCTTAATTCCCAAGATTTGCATTTATTGGAAAACACTTCACAGCCAAATATCCCATCCCTCTTTAACCATAACCAAGAATCATCACATTCCAAGCGACATCATGTTTATCCATCAACTTGAATACATGCTCTGCGTTGTGAATTCTTCCACATTTAGCATAAAATTTTAAAAGTCCGTGAGATTTATTGGGCAGTAATTGACATTATTAAAAAAAGGTTGAATCCTAACTTTGAGGGCTCCTACGGCCCCGCCTCGCCCGTAGAGGAAGGTAAATTGTGGGATGTGTCCCAACAGGTCAGGAAACAAGAGTTGTCTGTACACTGCGCCTACAAGAAGTCCAATTCATGTCTCAAGAATCGAACTACTACACTACGGCTGCCAGTAAGGTATGAGATAATATCACTTCTATCCTTTACACCATTGAGCTATGCCCCAAGGGGTAGTAATTGACATTATTAACAACATTAATTGATGCTCCTGCGAGGCAACAAAATTCCAATTAATTTATGATTTTTGAATTAAAGTTTTATTTATTTTAAATTTATAAAACCAACCAAATCACAATGTGTGAAATAAAACCTGGATTTGGATGTGAAAAATGCAATGTTGTCAAAACCAGCCCGGTTGATTCAATTGGTATAACGGGAACCGAGCCCAAAATTGGGCCAATCGTGCCCGGTTAACCGCTTATAACTAAACCACTTAAATCAGAATGAATATTAAGCTTGGGTGGGTCCTCCATCCAACCACCTATCATGACAGTTCAACGGGCAGATGAGAATTGAGATACAACTATTAATACAAGAATAATATTAATCTAAACATTTTTTAGAATTGTTATTCAATTAAATTTAAAATTGTCAGACACTTTGTCGGAAATCGAGATTAGTGTACCAAGGTAATGAAAGCCAACGTTTAATTTTGATAAAAATAAAATTTTTAATGAATTTTTATAAAAATTAATGAAAAATATGATTCAAAATTTGATAAAATGTGTAGTTAAAATAAATTGTTTAAAAAATTGAATTTTAAGAATGGAGATCAAATATGGACTTAATTTATCAAATGTAGTCCGTCAATTACAATCAATCAATTTTATGAACAATGTTATCTAGCACACGTTTAGGTGATAATTAACATGTATTAAATGAATTTTAAATCGTTATATTTAATTAAACTTATACTTTAATATCCGCTTTACAACTAATCTTTTATTACATTCTTTTCACTATGAAATCAAGTCCCTCATAATTACTTGTAGCGACCTGGTCCCTTTAATGAATGTTCAGCAAAAAAGGAAGGGAAAAAAAATCATAGATACCTCATTTAACATATAATAATTCATTTTATACTATTTAATCCAATTAATAATCGAAATTACTACTTAACCCTATTAAAATCCCAAAAGTACCATAATAAACTTTTCTTTTTGATATTGTAACTGAAAATTTTTTAAATACAGAAAAATGGGTTGGTGGACATACGGTGATTCAAATTCAAAAGAAAGTTG